ATGATCTCAAATAAGCCTGGGTAGCAGAACACTGGCACAGACCAAAGGTCAAATCCTCGATTAATTTACAGCAACCTCTGTTGAAATACCATTACACCACTACTGGCAACATTTACATAGAGACATAATGGATTGAAGACATTTTATCCCCTCTACAATTTGTTGTCTCAGCTCTCCGTATCAGGGCGGTTACCTAAGTGTGACTTTTCCACAAACCTTGAGGCTGTGAAAAGTTTAATTACACATAATGTCTACAAATACCTGTATTTACACTACCAGTTTTAAAGCCTCTACAAATCCTATATGGATTAATCCAAATTTTCAGATTAAACCTTCAAACATCACTGCTTCCTAAAAGCCATTATGGAACAAACACCAGCTCAGTTTATTACAGGGGCAAACATACAGAGCTGCAATAAGACACCATTACAGAAAGTTTCTGGGAGCGTTTGGCTGAAAAGATCATCCACACACACAATGAGGAAATATCAGGTTGCTACACCGAAACAATGATAACAACAAGTGGTTATACGGAAGGAAAGTTATTGTCATCTCCCACCTTTGTGTGTGTGGGTGTCTCTCTCTCTCTCTCTCTCTCTCTCCCTCTACTTGCGACACTATGCTCTACTACAATCTGCCACGCTCTGCCCTGCTCTGCTGCCACTGCTGTTCAATGAGTCTGGGTCACAGGAGGTTTTGACAGCACCCCTCCACAATAAGAGCTATCCAACTTTAAGTTGTTTTTATTAGCACTAATTTGATAGCTTATTCTGACAAAACATCAGGATTTAAGATTTTTATTTGCCACTTATGCATAAACAGACAGTCTAGGCATATAGGAATTCTTGTGCAGCTCTCGTTTGGAGTCAGGTAAGGAGTCAAAAACCAGAAAGAACACTTAGTCTTAAAATAAAAAAGTCAGGAAGTCCAGAATCCAGTTACAGGTGGGAGTTGAGACACCGAGGTCTGTCATCTTCCCAAACAGCCTGCCGGGGCAAAAGGTGTTAAGTGCAGAACTGTAATCCAGGAAGAGCATCCTAGCATATGTACTGCTGTTGTCCCGGTGTTTCAGGGTATGGAATAAAGCCAGGGCCATTGCATCGTCCCCTGATCTGTTGGGGCGGTAGGAAAACTGGAGGGGGTCTACAGAGTCCGGAACCGTGTGGTTAACG